AGCATCCTAAAAGGCAAATACATAAGACACAGAGATTCAATTCACCAAGAAAAAAAAAAAAATCATACATCATGCAAAATGCCCCCAAAAAAAAACCAAAAACCAAAAAAGGAGAGAAAGAAGAGAAAAATGTAATCAAGAAAAGACTTTGAGATCTACCTTCGTCTGGAGTGTGCTGAGATTTTCTGGATTCCTCCTGAGAAAAAAAATAGATTCAATAAAAGGACATAAAAACAACTTTTTTTTTTTAAAACATTTTTTTTTTTAATACAAAAAAAAGAAAAAGCAAGTTCAGAAAATACAGTTACAAAGGCGGCAGGGGGGAGGTGTTTGGGACGCTGAAGTAGGTTACTTTTTTTTTTTTTAGAAACCTTTTTTGTAAAAAAAAAGCAAAAAAAAAAACTCATTCTGAGGAATAATGACATAAAAATGGATTCTCTTTCCCTTCAATAAATAAAAGCTTTATTAATAATTGATAACACTGAAGACAAATACATTCAATCGCTTCCTCAAAGCTGGTTCTTATAATACAAGAAAAGTATTATTCTCCTCGTATTATTTATCGTTATAATCTTTCCCGATTTCACCTTATGACTTTATCATCATAAAACTCTCTGTGCCCTCCCAACCATTGGGCTGTAGCACTCTATTCTATAGCTCCGCCCATTTCCCCACTTAACCCCTCCTACCACCTTGTTAACTTTCCCCTATATGTCTTCTTATGATACTTTGTATTGTCTAAGGAGCAGGCAACCTTGGCACCCCAGCTGTTTTGGAACTACAAATCCCATGAGGCATTGCAAGGCTAGGGCTGCAGATGTACTGTATGCGTTGTTTGACAGCTTCCACCCAAGATTAATAACTCAAATTAATGTTTTTTTGGCTGTCGCTTGGTCAAAACTTCTATTTTTTAGGTTTAGGAATGAGTAAAACTCTTATCAAGATATTGTTGGCTGCCTCTCTCCCACTAAAAAGATTTCCCCTCGCTCCCAGTCCTTGAGACGCAACAGGAAATGAGAGGAAATCTCTACAAAGTGAACAGAATTTCCATCTGAGAGAGTTGTCCTACAACCGTGCGCCCCAGTTGGAGGATATACCCTCGCTTCTTGCTCCGGTGACAACTGAAAAGTTGGAATTCTCACTTTCAGTTCCCAGTGGCAATGGTCACCAGGCGTGATAAACGTGGTGATAAAATGGTCACCAGGCGGGGTGGTGAATCTTCCAACCAGAAAATCCTGAAGGGTCTAACCCTACCCTACTCCATCCAAAAACCAAAACAATTGTCCTTACATAAACTTTAACCTGGCCCCTCCTACAGCTCTATGACCTGCCTCCGTACAGTTCTCTCTGTCATGGACTTATATGCAAAAAGCAAGATCTTGGAAAGAAAAATGGACCATTTACATACTGAAACCAGATGAGTTCATTCTCACACAAATCCGGGATGGCCGGGACCGTACAAGATGTCCTGTTATAGGAAATGTTTCCGTTCTGTGCAACTTTCCATCTCATCTCCTCCAAATGTCCATCTTAGTATTCCTAACCTTCCATCTCACCTCTAAAATAGACCGTTTAGGCCAAGCTGAGGAGCCAAGTTATGGTGGGACACAATCAGAATGTAGATGGACCCTCAAGAACCGTCATTTCCAGGGAATGATCCGTCTATCTTCCTGACCAGTCCACCTTTCCAGTATCATTGTCTTTATTAGGGAGTCTCCTTCCACCTATCTGTCCATGTTAAGCTGGCCACACACGGACATAGAGGTTCTCCTGGCTCTCACCTGCAATAAATTGAGCCAGCTACAAGTCAAATGTGAGAGATAGGAAATTGGCATGGGGGCCAAAGACCCATACTGTGTGGCAGACCATAGAACCACTGAGCACTGGTAGAACAACACGTGCCCATTACCTCATACAACTGTATCTTTTATCCTGGGACATAGGAATGGATATCTGAGGGCCTAAAAAGCTGGTGTTCCAGACAGGGCCGTATTTACTCTCTATGCTGCCCCAAGGCCAGGTTCCTAAATGCGCCCCCCTAACCGCCAATCCCCCCTCCCCCCCATGGAGAATGGCGGACCTGCAGGCTGCATACAAGTGATCTTGGCGACATCGCCGGGAATCACTTGAAGAAAACAAGCGGCGGCTTCCCCCGCTGTACATTTAGCTCTGCTTGCCCAAAGCCGGGCTAAATGTAGAAAACAACTACCCGCCCGGCACCCGGAACTGCATGTCCCGGGCATCGAGAGATAGGAATTCCACACCCCTGCTGCCCCAAGGCCGGGCCTTGGTTGGCCTTGTGGGAAATCCGGCCCTGGTTCCAGACACGCATGACTTATTGGTGACCTTTCTCTGATGATCAGTGTGCGGACATTTTGTCTTTCTCTGTCCTGTAAGGCTGAGCTCACACCAGGAATGTAGGACCTGACCTGCTATGATTGACCGCTTGTTGACCAACATCAACCTGCACGTTGCATTGCATTAAGAATTTCATCCAAAGGAACAAATGCCAACACAATGAACTGCAACACAATGCATCGGTGTGAACAGGTTCCATGGAAATGTACTATATCCTGTCCATGTATTTTGCTATTCGTTGTGAACAAGCCCTCATGGTCATTTTGGGGTTTTGTACCCATTTGTGACAAACCAAGAGATACCTTGTCGCACTCCTTATGAAGTCCAAAGAGTTCCTTCATTGGAACGTCATGTTACCAAAACTAGCGCCTCCATTGCTGAGCCTGATGAGGGGGGACCCTGCGTGGCCCCGAAGGCGCTGGTTTTGGTGACATGATGTTCCAATGAAGGAACTCTTTGGACTGCAATACTGTTGGTGTGCTGGTGACATTTATTCATCTTTTTACCCATCTGTGACCCCCTTTATCTTGTGTGATAATAATTCTGTCTACTCAAGACTCCGGTTCTCTATTTGGGTCTTATCTCTGTAGGCCTCTGTCCTATCTTTCCTGTTCCTGGAATATGGATCTTTAAAAAAATATCTAAAGCCAAAACTTTTTTTAGTAGAATGTCTTTGTACTGTTGTCTCAGTCATGGTTGGGGAGGGGGGGTCACTCTTTCTGTCTGCTCTGTCCACTTAACGTCAATAGGACACAAAGTGATAGGAAATGTTATGGTTGTTACTGGAATAAGAGGAAAGGGAAAATGGTGGAATCTTCCAGTGGGGACACCTGTTCCGATGAGTGACTTAAAAACCTGTTAAAAACACTTTGGATGGAGTACGGAAGGGCTAGAAGCTCTGTCAGATTTTTGATGCTGAGTGGATTTAGAATTGAAGGGCCACAAGTCCAATTATTGCAATAATAGATTGTTTGTAAAGCCAACATGTTTCGAGGGAAGAAACTCTGCACCCTTCATCGGGGCTTGGGGAAAAATTAAACAACAAAACAGTGAATGTGGACTCCATAATCAGCCAATAGTTTCATGTTATTACAGTGCTGTGAGTTTGCACAGCCTGCGGCTGAAGCTGGTTCAGTGGTAGATTGACTATTGGGTCCACATGCACTGTTTCATTTTCCCAAGCCCTAACGAAGGGGCGGAGGTACAGCCCCCAAAACAAGTTAGCTTTGTCAATAATCATTGGACAAAAACAGCAGGGGTTTCATACATTTAGCCCTGCTGCGGACAAGCAGAGCTAAATGTACAGCGGGGAAGCCGCCGCTTGTTTTGTACAAGTGATCCCGGCGATGTCGCCTAGATCACTTGTATGCAGCCTGCAGGTCTGCCATTCTCCATGGGGGGGCAGTTTTGTTTGGCGCATTGAGGAACCTGGCCTTGGGGCAGCAGAGAGAGTAAATCCGTCCTTGGATGGGAAATCGATAGTTTTAGAGACGTCACAAAAACAGGAATTGAGGAGAAATATTTCAATGGGGACACCTGTTTTGGTGACACGTCTTATATCTTACTATGGAGAGATATTCTCTCACTTCCTGTTATATCTGCTGGAGTGAAGGGAAATCTACCCAACGGGACCCAGACAGCAAAAAGAAAAATATACTTGGCAGGGGTCATAAATCTTCCCTAATTCATCCAAAAACTAGAAAACAAAACAAGGTTTAGCATGACGTAGACTACAATCTTCCCTTTGCTCTTCTGTATACAATATTGAATTGTATGAAAGTCCTCCCTCCAACACTATAGATCTGTAACAAAATGGTGGAGGTCAGCCCTGTGATAACTTGGCATTCTAAAGTCTAGATTTCTCCCATATTAGTTGTATCTTCAAATTACGATGGATCTGGAAAATGGAGGGCGGAAGAATATCACTGGACCCAGTCTTTGGAAGGACAATATTTCTGTCACAATGTCCTGGTATCCATGCCAGATTGTCCCTTGTGTCCAGCCTCCATGTCTGATTGTCCCCTCTGTCCCGGGTGCTTTCTGTCAGCCTATAGGGATTCCCAGGACTGCAGCCAATCTTCGCACTTCCTCTCCTTTTTAGGTTTTTCTCACTTGCTCTGGGTTTGAGCAACGAGTCTTTATCCTCCCGCCGGTCCCCCTGTGTGCTTAGCGTTCCCTGTGTTGAGTGTTCCCTGCCTTGCTGTTTTCAGTGTTCCTGTGATATCCTCTTAGTTCCCAGTGTGTTGCTTTGGATATTACTTGAGTCCATTTGGGCGAGTACTCGTACTCGCCCAAATGCTCAGATACCTTCCCCGATTACCGGAACTTCCGGTCAGAGGAAGATTTCCTCTGACTGGCAGTGCTGTAGGGGCACATGGAGCCGGCCGCCCAGGGCAATCAGGAAGCTGGGAGGCGAGTAATGACCCATGTTGATTGGGTGGGAAGCGGGCTTCCTGGCCAAGCACAATCAAGCCGGCCAGACAACATGGAGCCAGCTTCTCGGGCAATCAGATTGCCCGGGAGGGTGGCTCCATGGCAGTGGAAGCACCGGTATCAGTATTCGGTATCGACGAGTACCGAAAGCAAAGTATAGATACTCGTACTTGATACCGAAAAAACGGTATCGGTGCATCCCTAATTGCCTTCATCACTATTCTGCATCCGTGTACCTGCACTCCAACCCATGTGTCTGCATTCCCCCATCTACCGGCATCCCCTGTTTATATGCCCGCCTTTGCATTTGTACTTCTGTCTTATGCACCTTTCCCAGTGTATTCTGCACTTCTGTGCAACGCATGTTCCCCCTGTACTTCGGTGCTTCACACGTTCCTTGTAATTGTATCCTGAACCTTGTGTATGCACGCTCCCGGTGCATAGTTGCCACTTTGCCCTGTAAACTGTGTGTAACTTCCTGCGTATCCCATACGTGTGTGATGCATGTTCCCTGTGTACACTCTCCAGTGCATCCTATCCAGTTCCTAGTGTCACGTATCCCATGTGGTCTTTGTCCCCTTTTCCCCTGGGTGTTGTAATTCCCCCAGTGCGGTTCCTGTTGTAGCGGGCCAATCGTATCTGCACGGGTCTGTCAGAGGGCCGCAACCTGGGAGCTGCCCTTCTGCACAATCAACTTCACCATCAGAGGCTCTGTGGAAGACCAGATTCTCCTTAGATCCTGCGCCTCTGGCACACCCACAGTCATTGTGCAGTTACCCTGCTCCCAGTTCCCTGTGTTTGGACTACCCAGTATGCGTTCACTCTTGTGCTCTAGTCCTGTTCCCTGCTCCTGACTCCTCCGCAAAACCCAGAGCTCACGGTTCCTAGTGTCCCGGGTTCCCAGATCGTGACAATTTCCACCCACCATTGTGTTTTCAGACATATTTTCCATCCTAACATGAAGACAATTTAATTTCACTTCCATTGTCCTGTAGATCATTAAAGGAGAACTATGAGGCGGGCGCTTTTCACTCACCTCATAGTTCTAGCCGACCTGTGACAATGAGACTGTCACAGGTCGGCTCAGTAGATCGGGAGGTGAGGGAACACATACCGGCGTTCGCTCACCTCTCGATCCTGTCACGGCTCTCTGCCGTGACAGGGGAGGGGCTGGATTCCCCCCTCCCCGCTCCGATCCGCCAGCGCTGACTGGCGGAACGGACGGGGGAGGGGGCGGGTACAGCTGGCTCTGCCTCTAGATAGGCAGAGCCAACTGTCAGTCACGCAGCTGGGCAGATCACGGCACAATTGTCGGGATCCGCTTCAGCGTCTCAGTATACCGCGAGCTGTAGCTCCCTATATACTGAGCCTGGCGTGACTGGAGGAGGCTAGTTTGTGTCCTCCCGTTACCCTAAGGAGCACTATGGGGAAAAACCTTAACCCCATAGTTCTCCTTTAATACTTAAAATGTCTTTAAATATTCTGACCCCAGGTGTTAGCACGTTGTTCTTCAATTGCCCTAAGATTCCTCTTTGGCTGTGTTCTGGGCTCCTAACAGGTGAGTTTTCCATTACAATATGCTACACATATGGCATGTTGCAACTTGGACACTCCAAATCCCATTATGGAAGCCCCACCCTGGTCATTGACCACAGGCTGTACACCTCAGCTTGTATGGCAAAATATTTCTTGACTACTCAAGTTCCTATAAATCCACCTTATGTTCAGTGGTTAATCCTACACTGTTTTATCTTCAGAACCCTTCACAACTCTTGCCCAACCTCATGTCCTCACATTCACCTATACTCCTAAGGCTCCCCAATGACCTACAAGTGTTCTCAAAAGATTCCTGGCTACAACACTTCTCATGGGGTGCTTGTATACTCCGGACTTCTCTTGCTCTGCTTAAAGCCATCTATGAAACACCTAAATAGTCCCTCAAAACCCAACTCTTCCCTACTTCCAATCCAGCTTCCTTTCCATCCATTACCGAGTAAGCCACAACATGTATGAAATGTCTAACCGAAGAATAGCTTGCATCGCTCTCCTAACAACCAGTCAGCTTCTCCTTTCCATATCCTAACTTGCCCTATCAATCAGAGAGGGCGACTGGTTGCTTGAAGGGAAGTTCAGAAAGCCCTGATGTCAGACAGTTCACACACATGATCCACACTCTTAAAGCAAACCTAAACGCAAGGTTTATGACCACTTCAGAAAAAATATGAAGGTGTTGAGAATGCATGGGGGTCCCCAAAGTGTAAAATAATACCTGTGAGTTGGGAAGAGCTATTCCTGGGGTGTGGTAATTGGCAACTTGCCGGGTTGTTGACATTAGTCCTCAGCCAAGTGACTGGACAATCTGGAACGGGGGACACTCACAATGTGGAGCTGCTGTCATTCATGTGACCAGAACTGTAGCTCTGTGGACCTCTTGTTTCCAATCTATGGGTATATATTTAGAATTTAGGACCCCGCTTCCCCAGCCTGCTCCCTAAAGTCTCAGTATTGCTATGCAGTTTAGCTCGGCCTAAACTTCTCCTTCCTTTTTTTTTCCAGATCTGCTCATGTCTGTTGATGGTAAACATTTGCCAAGGACCCAGAATGTCCTACACTGCTACAGCACGTGATAAGAGGTAACCCTGCCCTCTCCCGACCAGTCCACCTTTCCTGTATCATTGTCTTTATTAGGGAGTCTCCTTCCACCTATCTGTCCATGTTAAGCTGGCCACACACGGACATAGAGGTTCTCCTGGCTCTCACCTGCAATAAATTGAGCCAGCTACAAGTCAAATGTGAGAGATAGGAAATTGGCATGGGGGCCAAAGACCCATACTGTGTGGCAGACCATAGAACCACTGAGCACTGGTAGAACAACACGTGCCCATTACCTCATACAACTGTATCTTTTATCCTGTCCTTGGACATAGGAATGGATATCTGAATGGATACCAGCTGAAGAAACACGATGAACCCAGTTTTGGAGAACATAGACCATACGCAGATCACCTTCCCGATGTTGGCACAGTCCAGTCACCTCTGGCGCTGTCATTGACCCCTCGTGAACATTCCCAGAAGAGGACAATCCCTTCGATAAAATCCAACATTTAGAAATAATGGTTTGTTTCAGTAAGTAAATGTTCCTTATTGTCTGTGAACCACGTGGTGTTCCGAGACTCTTCCGATCCAACTTAAATGAGAACATTTTCTGCGATTTTAATAGAATGTATGCTTTTTTTTTTTTTTTGGAATGGAAAAAAAAAAAAAAAAAAAAAAAAGAAAAACAATTCATTTTCCCCCCAAAATTTCAACCGGAAAAAGTAAAAGATCGACAAGAAAGAAAAGAGATAAAAAACAAAAACAAAATTGAAGGTAAAAATGAAAAAAGAAAAAAAGCACCTTCACGGTTAAAGATGGGGCAAATGTTGGGGCTTTAGGCATTGGAGGCCGGCTGTGTTTGGTTCATGCACGATGGATGTATAACAATGTCACAGGAAACAGGAAGTGGAGTCTGGTGCTAGAGGAAGTGCTTTGACTGGATAATGGCAGCTCCCTTAGGATAGGAAACCATAGACAAATGTAGAGCCTGGCAGTCATACTGGATGTGGCGATGGTATGTCATGCTGGATGTGTCGTTCTCTTACCCCCAGAAATGGCTACTTAGTATAACCAGAAGAGGTTGTTTTTTTGGGTAAAAAACACACTTTAAGTCTTTCTTTTGTCTAACGCGCCTCTTGTTCAGCCCTTCTTCTCCGTCAAAGTCACACGGTGTCAGGTGCCAGCACTGGGATTATATATTTATACAGTGAAAAAGGTGAGAATTGTTAGGAACACTCTTAACTCATGGAACCCCGAGACTTGGAGTATGTAGCAACAGAAGTAATTATTGGTAGGAGCCCAAAGGGTCCGCTGGGCCTATTCTCCGCGGTGCATATACATTAAGAGGTAAAAACAACACATTATATCACATCAGCAAGAGACGTGAAAACTCCAATCTCAGACTTCGGCTGGCCATACACACGGTCGTTTCCAGTCAACTCGCACTTTTCATGCACCAAGAATGGGAAACACAACCTCAAGCTCTCACTAGGATCTAAACTATCTACCACCCATGAGTATGAGTGACCACCAGAATTTGACCGGTAACCGGGCAATAAATGAGCAGCTACTACGGGATTTGTCAAAAGAAAATGGAAATGGAATCAAAACTGGAACCACTATGGAAGCTGTCTGGTTTTTTTTTTTTTGATTGGCGCAATTTTTAATTCTCCCCGCAGTCACTGGAAACCACCATTTCTCAACAAAAAAATGGAATCAGAAGTTCGATCGCCTTATCCAATTGCCATGTGTACGGCCAGCTTAAGAATCCTTATTATAAAGAACCTTGAGATAACTGCATTGCACTCAACCCCATAATGCTTGGGGAGGGGTGCTGGACGGTGTTCAGATGTTGGTAGACTCTAGATTTTGTTGGGTGAATCTGAGCAGATCCAGGCTGCTGATAGCCTGGAGTGGACATCTGAGATACAACATTTCACACACTGGCAGTCCTCATGGATAGTTTGCTTGGGGACCTGGACGGTCTGCAGTCCACTTAGTGGCCTCTGGTCAGTGAGTGAACCAGATTCACTGAGGGTCCAGAAATAATTATGGGGCAAAATTCCTATCTTCTAGTACATCTGACCCTATTGGGGGGGGGTGAAGTTCTGCTTTTTTAGGCTAATGTGTCCTCTGCTAGTCAAACAAAAAGATATGTATTTCTTGCTGCGCTCCTTACCGGATCTCTGTAGAGATGTTTAAAAATGGGTGCTCGTAGTGACAACGGAGGCGCCGTGAAACATACAAAATAGATGAGGGATGTCACCACCTCGCCAGGTTGTTAAATTCGGCAAAAGTCCGTTTTAATGACAAGCATTGTCATTCAGATAGCAGGTACTTTCGGGGGGGCCTCGCAGGGTCCCCGTCATCAGACTTTTGCTGAATGTAACAACCCGGTGTGCTGGTGACATCCTTCATCTCCTCTGCTAGTCAAAGTCTCACCTGATCCTGCCCACCTACCCGCCAGAGAACAGTGAATGAATGAGCAAGGGGCCTACACCAGGTCGTCCTGCACCAGGTCCTACACCAGGAAGATGTTCAAAGAACCGTCTATAATTGGATCGTTAAGGAGAATCATCAATGAGCTCCTACTGGTGGTGGTTGACCTCTAAAAATATATCGGCAAT